ACTGAATATAAATATATAGACATATTTAGGAGTTATAAGATGCGCACATGATGCACCAATAGACCAGTAAGACCTCAGTGCAAATGTAAACAGCTGAAAACAGCATGAACGTCTCCTTTAACAGTATTCACAAGCTTTAACCAAGTAAATCATTATCACATTTTAGAAGGTGTGGTAATTTGCTTACATGTGTGAAGTCGCTCACAGTAATTTCTCCCTCAGCGCCGATGCTAATCTTTCCCATATAGGTGTAAATGCAGTAAGGGTGTGGCTTTTTTATAACCTAAAATCCAGCACTACTACAAGACTGAGAGCAGATTACTGAGGAACTGAGGATAGTTTTACCTCATGCGAGACAGCAGGTCCTTGTATGATGGCTGGATGCTGAGGTCCTCTTGTACACACACATCTCTGTTAAAGAAGGAACACACAATTCTCTGATTAAAGCATTTAGAAAACGGAAGGCCTAAAAATCAAAATACACAATGCTAATAGGAGAGATTCACTTTTACATTATGTCGCCTGCAACAATAAATTCAACAAATTCACAGTAACAAATTCAATCCAAGGTTTTTTGTTGGATTTTGTTACATCTGAAATCTGACTGAAGGGGATTCAAATCCCTCCACAAAGCTAAAGTGAGAAATGCAGTATTCATTTTCTTTTAACTTCAAGAACAAATGTGCAGGATTTAAGGGATGTGATTGTACAAATAGAAGATAGTGCTATATATTAGTGTACGATCACCTGTAATGACGAACTGTAATGTTTTCATTACCTGATGGCTGAGGCTAACATTTGATGTTAGTTATCTGAAGCCATTAAAGCCTCAAAGTATAAAATTAGGGACCTATTAATGTTTTTAATTTTTGTTTTTTTTTTTCAGGATTATACTCAAGCAGCTTTGCATGATTCACAGTTTGAAATAATCCTTATTTATCTTATCCTGGGCCTCGGTGTATCCCTCAGTTCATCCACTGTCTGAAACAAGCTGCTTATCTACCTTTAAGCCAATATTCTTGTGATTCATTTAAACCGTAATTTGCATATATCTGTGGTGATCATATGAAGGATCTCTTCTCACTGGCATGATACTGTTTCAAGAGTAACATATAAATAAACAATGCGTTTAAAACCTGAAATCTAATCGCACACGATATCGTCTTAGCTCACTAAAGTCAGACAGACCTGGTGTCGACTCCAGAAGGGGTGAGCAGGAAGCAGCGGAGACAGCTGTATGTGTGGCCTCCACTTTCACCTTCAGAGTCACTCTCAGGGAGGGGTTTAATAATCTTCACAAAGGTTTCTGGGAAGATACCGGTCTGATTGTTTACTGTACCCTGAAGGAAAAAAAAAAGAAGAAGAGGAAGAGGAAGAGCGCATAAAGAAGAGGAAGCAAATGATCAAAAGATGAGCGAACAAATGAATTATGTCTCAGAGGATGGAGTGATAGGGGACTGATGATTAGACAAGGTGATGATTTAAAGGAGAGAAAGAGAAGAAAGCAGCATGGAAGTGCATCTGGAGAGACGTTTTCCCGACTAATTAGCGTGTTCATAATATGCTGCTGATGTTGGAAGCACTAAACACAATCATACAGCCTTTTTACTACACCCCTGGTGTCTCACTGTGTTACTCTGCAGAAACACATACAGAAGCTGTTTCAAAAAGCATCCAGCACTTTCACACATTTATTGTAGAACAAGGAAGCAGTATTATGTGAAAAAAAAGCCTTTCATTGTAACGCGCCGAAATCACAACTTTGGATCAAGTACAATGATGATAACACCCAGTCTGTCCTGAAAAGTTGTATATTCAAACCTCTTTAGTCAGCTGACTTGTATGTTATCTAATGGGTGTGAATTTAATAAAAATGGAGCATTTGTAGTATCTTGTGTTGCAACTTTAAAGCAATTGATAAAAGTTAAGTTAAAAAAAATTAGGATCTGAAGACAGCACATCCAGACAATCATTTTGTTTCTATCACAACTTCACGTGCTTCTGAGGTCCGTGGAAAAGGGCAAAAGTCTAGAGAGCTTGAAAGAGGTAGTTGTACAACTTTGCTGCTTGATCATTGTGGTTCATCCTGCAGCCTGCACCTGGATTACCAAATCATTACTTTGGAGGAGGCTGTAAAACGTTATGCCCTGGCTTCATTTCAGGAAATTACATAATAATCAACGAACATTTATGGGCAGAAAATTTTTTCTAATGCACCCCAAATACTGACTGTACCTTTAATTTGATCTTTATACTATGGGTGTGGATGGAGCTTCAGCCTCTTCCAATTCAGAGCAATGAATCTATGTAATCATTAGCCATTGTTTTTTTATGAGGATTAAAAGAGGCTAGAAAGGAAAACGGCATGTGCTTTATTTCTACATTCAGTAAAAACAGAACACCATTCAAGAAATACATATATCCTTATATACTCACTTGATAATCTTATTGCAAGTTAATGTGCTTAAATAGTTGAGCTTAGTCTTTCTTAAATTGTAGTAACAGTACTCTAAGTACTATGAAGTACTACAAGAGGTACTTTTACTTTATTGTGACCTTTTGAAGTCTTTATTGAAAAAAATGACAGAACTGGTTGGTTAGTTGGTTGGTTAGTTGGCTGGTTGGTTAGTTGGCTGGTTGGTTAGTTGGTTGGTTAGTTGGCTGGTTGGTTAGTTGGTTGGTTAGTTGGCTGGTTGGTTAGTTGTTTAGCAGGAATAAGGTTAAAAAACATGGACAAAAAGTCACTGATATGCAATCATGTGAAAAGAAAGTTCACACAGATGTTGTTTGGCACGTTGCTGCAGTCAGATGTGTGTTTACTCAATGTGAAGAAGGAAAAACATCATGTCTTTAGGCAGGAACTTATGGGACCCATCAGTCTGAGAAGAATTACTGTATGAGGCCATTTACAAATTATTTGAAGTTTATAAATCCACAGGGAGAAAGATCTTTCACAAATTAAAAATATTCAGGACAGCTGCCAATCTTCCCAAGGGTGGACAACCCCCAAAGATTTGCTCTTTTTTTTTTTTTTAGCTAAAAATATTCTTCAATTTTGAGGGATTCTTGGCTCTTCAATACATTGAAAGTGGTAAGATTAATCAAAAAAAATCTGATCACCACTAATTGGATTACAAACCCATCTAAGCTGATATTGTCCCTAGAATAAATCATGTTGAAACAAACCTGGATCCTGCTTTGTGTCATTTTCTACAGACTCTGTAGACGTACTCTCTGTTGTAAGTCACTCGATAGAAGTCACTGGTCACTGCAGTCATGGGCTAAGTATGTTCTACTACCAACGTACATCCAGTTCTCCTTAAAGTCAAAGCTGACGACCAGTCCAAGCCTGCAGCCTTCTTTCTCTGCATCAACACTTCACAGCTGCTCGCTTCTATCACTCTCCTTTCAGTTGGCCACTGAGCAGCACTGTCGCAGCAGCTAGTGATGAAGTCTGTTTCTCATTGGCAGCTTTGCAGCCGCTGGATTTGTCGGTTTCCAAAACTGTGGTTTCACTCTGGTGTGTTTGAAATGTTTACCTTGACGCACCAGTATGCCAGTTGGATTTGTCACGTTTTCCACCCACATCCACTCTGTCCACTGACTAACTCTACGCACTCAGTCAACTTTTCACAAGTTGTAAGTGTTGCATTAACCTCACCCCCCATCAAAAAAAACAAAAAACAAAAGACATACTACTAGTGTGGATAACAGCGTTGCCAAAAAAGAACAAAGCCTCAGCATTTTGCAGTGTTGCATAAGGACAAATAGATTATGTTTTCTGTTACTTTTTTTCGATCTCTTTAGAAAGCCGGGGGCAGGTTAAGTTCATCCTCCTCCTCCTCTGTGGTGATTCTCTTCCCTCTCCCATCAGGGCAGCTTCCACCTCCTTTCTCTCTCCCACTCACCCAGCGTCGTTCTCACATCTCGAAACCTCACACAGTTTTATCAAGCATGTTTCTTTACCTTTTTTTTAAGTACTCACAAAGTGAGTGATGAAGAAGAATTACTATGACATCTATTTGCCAGCAGCCATATTCCAGCATTGCATTTTTAAAAAAAATGCAGAGTATTAGATAAAAATATCCACTTGTGCACGACTCATACATACAAACAGTGAAAACTAGAGCAGAGCTTCTCCAATCACACCAGGGAAGGCACTCTGTGGTCACCGTAGTAGGCTGATTCTGAGTAGGATGTTGTCAATCTTTTTTTTAAATGATTGTTTTCATTATAGTTTAACTGACTGGACTACTCGACTCTGATTTGCCACAGAGTTGGCTCTTTATCCTCTGCAATTAAAAAAGGCCTAGTGAAAACATTTTTAAAAATATGTAAAAGACAAATAAATCAAACCAAATCAAAAGATTATTGTAAAGCAGCAGGTCCATACAAAGCGTTGCTCATAGTTGTTATTCTAGATCTCAGATTGGGCTGAACTCTTTGTGGATACTAGTGGATACATATTACAAACCTGGCACATCATTTCTTTATCATTTCAGATTTCGACATACTCAGACCAAATAATAAAGGAATAAATAAATCGACAAATAGGCAGATGTGCATGTCTTTCAATCATGACAGTCTGCAAACATGGACACTGTCATGGCTTGCCATGTTCGCGGTTTTTCTCTGTTTTCTGTTTTTTGTTTACATTTACACATCTCCTGTCACACATGTCTAGAGACCAGTGGCAATCCTCAAAACTGTGTACACGCTGGAAGCAAATGGAAGCGACGGGGCAACAAGAGACAAGAGAAAGTGAGTGACATTTGATCATTTAAGTGACTGCAGGTGGAAAAAGTGCCGGTGAGGAGAAGTTGGTGGGACCCACGATAAACTCTTCGCAACTTCCAGGTGAATAACTGAAGCAACTACCAATGACAATGAAGAATACTGTTAATTGACATATGAAAGGCTGATGTCCTGCAGGTTTTAGATATCACCCTGAAACCACACATGAATCAAATGATTAGTTCATTACCAGGCTTCTGGAGAACTTCAAGACATGTTGAGGAGGAGGTCATTTAATCATTTAAATCAGCTGTGTTGGATCAGGGACACATCTAAAACTTGCAGGACACCGGCCCTTGAGACCTGGAGTTCCCCCACCCCTGTGTTAAAGGGTCACCTATGAAACAAAAACCCAGAAAAGCTGCAAGCAAACAGCTGTTAGCTTCAAAGCGATGTGTTACCAGCAAATCACTTCCACAGTGTACTAGGGTCTAACAGTATCTGTACGACAGAAGAACATGTGAATCCCATGACAGTTTCACGATTGCTTCCTAGAGCAGGGGTGGGCAACTCCAGGCCTCGATGGGCCGGTGGCCTGCAAGCTTTTGATATCACCCTGGGTCAACACATCTGAATCACATAATTAGTTCATTACCAAGCCTCTGGAGAACTTCAGGACATGTTGAGGAGGTCATTTAGCCATTTGAATCAGCTGTGTTGGATCAAGGAAACATCTAAAACCTGCAGGACACCGGCCCTCAAGGCCTGGAGTTGCCCAACCCTGTCCTAGAGCTTACTGGCTGTTGTTAGGTGAAATCCACTGCAAGGAGTCTTCTGCACCAAAAACATCCACACGACTGCTTTGGTCACAAGCGGATGGCAGGGATTGCCTATCATTTACAAGGAAAACACAGAGCTGTCTGCAAACACTGTTTACTATTCGAGTGTGTTTCCTTGTGTCACTCATACTGCAGGATTTATCTTACTTTGTCTATGGACTTCAATGTTGTACTTTTATTACCAATAAAGTTGTGCTTTTTGTTAAAAGAGACAAATGAACAAAGCAAAACAAAAGGAAAACGAGCAACCACATTTGGGTCCTCAGCCTTTAAAGTAAAAGTTGTGCCTTCCTCCTTAAACCAATAAGTTTCAAAGGACACTTTTACTTTTACACTGAAGGTGAATGTTGAGGTTTCAGCGACACTCCTCACAGCTGCAGCTTCCACAAAAACTACAGGTGACCGCAGCGATCAGTTACTGAAGTGTTTGTAAGGAGGTACAGTGGTTTGAAAACGTGTTTGCCCCCTTCCTGTTTTTTTGTATGTTTGTTACACTTAAATGTTTCAGATCATCAAACAAGTTTAAATATTAGACAAAGATAACACAAGTCAAACTAAATCCAGTTCATAAATGAAAGTGCTTGTAATTATATAAGGGGGAAAAAATCCAAACGTACGTGACCCTTCGTGAAAAAGTGATTAAACCTAATAACTGGGCCATCCATAGCAATGAAGTATTTGCAATAACTGGCAATGAATCTTTTACAGTGCTGTGGAGGAATTTTGGCCCACTCATGTTTGCAGAATTGTTGTAATTCAGCCAAAGTTGAGGGTTTTCGAGCATGAACCACCTTTTTAAGGTCATGCCACATCATCTCAATCTGGCCAGGACTTTGACTAAGCCACTCCAAAGTCATTGTCCTGCTGCAGAATCCTCCAGTACACTTCAGCTTGAGGTCACAAACAGATGACTGTTTGTAAACAGCAGAATTCATGGTTCAGTTATTACAAGTCTTCCAGGTCCTGAGGGAGCAAAACAGCCCCAGACCATCACAGCACCATATTTTACTGTTGGTATGATGCTCCTTTTTGTTGTTTAAGGGTCTTTTGTGACCTCTTGGATGACATCATTGCATAACCTGTTTACCAATTACATTAGGGCAATTACATTACCAATTACATTCCTTTTTGCCCTCAAAACAAATCAACCTGACTTTCAGTCAGCTTGATTTGAGTGAATTCAGCTTTGAGAGCAGAGCTGCCTGTAAGCGCATGATTCTACTGCAACGCTCGCCAAGCAGACACTCGCATCTACAATGGCTTCTTTGTGCATCTAGCTGCTGAGTTCTACGCGCGGGTTATTGATTTTGAGGAATTTGACTGCACAAGTGCCAAAACATAATTCCATATAAATATACATGTTCGGATATTTACTGGAATATATCTGTACACACAGTCCGGGCAAACATTAGAACAGTCTGCGGGACTGAGATGTGTGTAAAACTAAAATATCTCAGTCTTTTGTCCATCAGTTTTGTCCATCTTTTGGAAGAGGTGCTGGACAACTGGAAAGTGGATGTGTGTGCATTTATTTAGGCTGCAGTCTCTCTCTGCTCTCCTTACTTTCTTATCCTGCCTATTTTTTATCTACTAAGTTAAAAGCAGACAACCATCACTTAACCATTACTTTCTTTCTCTTCTTCACTCTTCTTCATAATTGTATTGCTCATTTTCCCTCTCTTGATGTTTCCCTAATTCCATCTCTCTTCATTGCTCCACTCTGATCTTTAGCTCTTCTATTTTTATTCCTCACTTTTCCCAATATACTCCCAATGAAGACACCACCTCTTTCAACGTAAAAAAATCTCCTCTTCTTTTCTTCCATCTCATCTCCACCTCCACCTCTTCTTTATTTTCCCACCCCTCCCTCTCACTCTCCATCCAGCTTTCTCAGGCTTCCACTCTCCCACTCTTTCGCTGCCTCTCTCCTTCTCCACCTTTCTCTCTTTCTCTCGTCCCTCTCATATTCTCGCCCTCTTTCTCTCTCCGTTCTTACCTCCAGCCAGTCGACATTGACTCGTCGCAGCAGGAAGATCACCTCTCCCTTCTTCAGGTTCAACTCCGCCTTGCTGTTGCCGCGAAAGTCAAACATCGCCTGAGAAACACACACACGCAGACATACACACCACAAAAGAGAGAGTACACACGCACGCACGCACACACAAAGTCAGTGAGAGAAAAGAGGAGCGATTTAAAAGAGCATACGGATTCAACACAAAGAAGGAACAATGACGGGTAAGACACTTTTTGCATGTGTATAATTAAGAGAGGAGAGAGCGAGAGAAAGAAGGGACGCTAGAACAAAAATTAGCCTGAAGATGATAATATTTTTGAGCAGAAAAGATATGTGATAGAAAGAAAGTGAAGTTGTGAGTCTAAGAAGAGTTTTAAGGTATGTTTGTGTAAGAGAGAAATAAAGCACAGGAATGAGGAAAGGAGGGCTGCCGAAGTAGCAGTGTTCTTGCTGATACTGGTAAATATGTGTAAGCCTGTCAAACTCTACATGTGTGTATGTGTGTGCGAGCTAACGCTGCAGCTGAGGATCAGTTCCAGTAACAACTATTATATATTTATGGAATTTTGAGAATCAGAAATAAAAGTGTGACAAACGCTTGCATCCAAGGTTAACCATTTTTATAGATGCCTATTTTTTCTAATCTAGAAAACATTTATGTACTATAGCTGCATGTGGCACCGTTTACATAACATATGATATACAGTGTCTGTAGTCACTTCTACAAGCGTGAGTGTGTGTAGGATGAAGTCAAAAGCTGGTATGAGGACATTGGAAAACTCAAAAGTTATACAGCCTGAGGAGGCGCCACACTGCAATGTAAAGGTGTGTGTGTGTGTGTGTGTGTGTGTGTGTGTGTGTGTGTGTGTGTGTGTGTGTGCGTGTGTGTGTATGAAGGGGTGGCTAGATACTCGACTGTCCTAGTCTGCATCAGTGCGTGTGGAATAAAAGCCTCCCAAAGTTGAATTTGCATTTTAAGTAGAACTCGGTAGAGTCATTACCGGGGCTCTACACCTATTCCCATCCTTTTGCTAAGAGACTCCTCAAACACACAGATGACAAACAGCCTATTACACACACGCACATTGTGTAATACACAACGACAAACATGCACACACTCAAACTACAATAATCTTTTACTAATACTTGTTCTGTATTAATCTTGTTGGTGTACCGCGCACTCCCATTAGCATTCACGCCCCACACGAGCGTGAATGCTAATGGGGAAGGGGACGAGGGAGGGAGCTGGTGTGGTGGTGGGGTTAGAGTGAGAGACAATGGGAGGAAAGCCATTACATGAGGGAGTGAAAAATTAACAAATACAATTTGGAGAATCAGAGAGGTTGGGAGCGAATGAAAAAAGAATGCAGAGCGGTTATATCAGTGGGAGGGAGGTGAAGATGAGGAGGAGGAAGAGGTGGAAAAAGAGGAGGAGATAAGAAAAGTTAAAGTTAAGCAGAGGCACGGTGCTGGGGGAGGCAGTGAGTGAGTGATGGAGTGAGACAGCGAGTGAGTAGGGAATCTCTGTTTTTTCATACTTCATGATTTGACAGGACGTGAGAACTAGGCTGCTGAGGGATGTAAGATTGAGCACATGTGTGGACAACAGAGGTAACGCTCTTGTAAATTCACAGTGATGTGTCACATGTGCTGCCTCCTGCACACCATCCGTGCAGCTCTCTGACATAAGTGAATGGAGGATTTCCAGTTATGTGTTCAACCTGATCCTCCTGACACACTGAGAGAGGTTCATGTCTGTCATGTTTGGTTTTTAAATTTGGTGCTTTGCAAGTAACATCACCAATTCCAGCTAATCTGTGATCTTTTTCTAGGCATTTTAGCTGTTTCTCCACACGTAAACTATGATTTAGGTCATTGAAAATGGAGATGTTATGAATCCCTTTCATGTAGTGGAAACAGAAACTTTTGTCTTGCAACATCAAAGGTGCCTTTATGTTCTTTTTGACACCAGTTCATTATGTTTCGAAGCATATGATTGGCCAAGATTTCTGTTCAGTTAGATTTATATTTGTTGGCCTGCTCTTAATATTGTTTGTTTGTTTTTGGATTTGGATTTTGCATTTTCATGAGGCCATTTTTTCCAAACGAAAGCTGAAAATCCCCGTTTTAAAAAATACCTGAGTGAATGGAGCTTTAATCAAGAATCACAATAAATGCTAACGCTATGTTGTCTACTGGATGTGTAAAAGCAGCTGTTTACCAACATGCTAGCTTTGACATGTTCGCATGGCGTGCGCGACACTCCTGCCAGAGACACAAATCCCCTTTGGGGCCATCCTGGTCAAAAAGCTGTGTTGAACCCTTGTGACAAGGGAGCAGCTGAAATTAGCTTCTTCTTTATGGTCTGTATGGAGTATGCATGTTGTTGCACTCCCCCAAGTGGCCAAAAATATTACTGCAGGTTCAAGACGTTTTGAACTGGTTCCTGTGGTAAGTACATAGTATACTTGAATATCCCAGTATTCCTTTTTAAACAGCAAGAAACCAATCAACTTGAGTTAACCACATACAG